CTGTTGACTTTTGAATGCAGTAGATAAAGAATAATAGCTGATGGCATTAATTCACAGATATTAGAACAGAAACGGTATGGATCATAAATATAATCAAATGACGACACTAGCTTGAGGTCCGTGACATAGGAAGTGGTGAAGGAAGTAGTAAAGGTGAGCAGTGTGGAGTGTGGAAACTATTTATGACGATTAGGTTTAGGTATCAGCATTCCTAAAATTCTATGGGAAGGGAGGAAAACGGGTCCGCGACGTAGGAAGTGGTGAAGGAAGTAGTCGAGGTGAGCTGTCCGGAGTGTGGGTACTGTTTATGACGATTAGATTAAGGTATCTGCATTCCTAAAATTCTATGGGAAGGGAGGAAAACGGGTCCGCGACGTAGGAATTGGTGACGAAAGTAGTCAAGGCGAGCTGTCCGGAGTTTGGAAACTGTTTATGACAGTTAGATTAAGGTATCTGCATTCCTAAAATGATATGGGAAAGGAGGAAAACGGGTCTGCGACGTAGGAAGTGGCGAAGGAAGTAGTCGAGGCGAGCTGTCCGGAGTGTGGGAACTATTAATGACGATTAGATTAAGGTATCTGTTATCCTAAAATGCTATGGGAACGGAGAGAAACATGGTCCGCGACGAAGGAAGTAGTAAAGGTGAATAGTCTGGAGTGTGGGAACTGTTTATGACGATTAGATTAAGGTATCTACAATTCTAAAATGCTATGGGAAGGGAGGGAAACAGGTCCGCGGCGTAGGAAGTGGTGAAGGAAGTAGTAAAGGCGAGTAGTCCGGAGTGTGGGAACTGTTAATGACGATTAGATTAAGGTATCTGTTATCCTAAAATGCTGGAATCCGCTTCATGTGTCACTTGAATGTCAGAAGTAGTGAAATAGAGAATAATACAAGATCTAGAATCACCCCATTTCTGTTTGGTATTCCATTGTATTGTCCGAGACCAAATGCTGAGTTCAATTCTACCAAGGGACTTAATGATGCTCCATGGGCATTTCTTGCATTAGGCGTGAACCAGCTTACCTTTGGCAGGTTAAAATCTCCAGTGATAACTGTAGTTCCCGCGTTTGTGGTGAGCATAAATTCTTCCAGAGTTTAACATAATTAATTCACTGTAGAGTTGTGCAGGTTGGTTTGGAGGTATGCATGCACCACTCAGCAATAACTTTGGGTGATGTTTGGGCGTAACAGAGACAAAAATACACCCAACTGATCCAACAGGGGCTGGAATCTAATAAGAGAGTTTCCTGTGGACTGCAATTAGCACGCCACCTACGCTAGTTTTACTGCTGGTCTGACATGACCCCGGTCCCTCCTGTAAACGCAATAGTTATCGAAACCAAGCTCGGAGCAGGAGATTTCAGGTGTAAGATTAGTTTCAGTGAGTATTATATTATCATTTGTGCAGGATGCAAGGTAAATTTTCAGGTAGATTAGTTTGCTACGTGAGCCATTAACACTTTGGTACATGAAATGAAGAAAGGAATCTCCGTTGGGGCCTTTTAGTTTTTTTTTCACAATCTTAGGTGTGTAACGTATTTGATGATCTAAAGGGGCTCACTTACACTACAAATCATAGATACTATGAGCCTCCAAATATGTAATTCTTAAAACACATGGCTCACTTACTCTACAGATCATAGTGCCTATGAGCCTTGTGTCTTATATTTAAAAATACAGTAGGATGGCTCACTTACTCTACAGATCATAGTGACTATGAACCACGAGCCTGCGGTAAAATATTAGATATGGTTCACTTACACTACAGTTCATTTAGCCACCCGTTGGGTGAGCACTTTTTCACCTCAAATTAGTTGACGAATATCGAAACTGGAAAATCGATACTTTTACAGCTCAATTGTTTTTAGAATTTAGTACATCGCGATATCGATAGTCCACTCCCACTCCATAACTCCATCCATTACCGTTCTCCTTTGACTTGTGACTTGACACTTTACTTTGACAGTTTGAATTTAATAATGGTCGATCATTAGGAGAGAACATATAATTGTAGCACTAGAGACGTAATGTCAATTTTTTAAGAGAATACATAAATTTGTTAATACCTTACGAGCAAATTCTTTTTCTGTTTCTATTTATCAGTAGATAGTAATGGGAATAAAATTCAAAGTCAACAGTTGAAAAGCTCATTGCTAAGGTTATGTTCAGTGACCAGAATTTGTTTTAATCAAAACTGAATATCATCAGATGGAGGCCATTTCTATTAGCAAATTTGTATAATAAACAATGGCCCAAAACAAATGGTACAATGGTAAAACCATTGTGTTACCTGTAACATTAATGAACAGTGACAACAAGTAAGGAATTAACTGTTCTGTTAGGTGTAAACATTGGGTTTCCATACTTAATACTTTTTATGAAATGGCGACCATACATAGTAGGTATTTTAATATATGAATGATATTTTAGTATGAATGAATGGAGATGAGTGTAGGATGAGTGGCACGATCTTGTAGTCTTGTTAGTGACTAAGGCCGACATTCCTTAGACACAGCTGTTAATTAATAGCCCATACAGCTAATGGCAACTAAGGGACCTACTGTTTATAGTGGAATCCGAACCAAATTTTTTTTGCCTTGGTACATACGAATTGGTCTAATTATCAGGATTGCACTGCAAGTAGTCATAGTACTCATTCGTGCGGACGTTAATCCACACCAGGAAGTAACGCAACCACAGTGCATGCCTATAAATATCCACAATTTGTGACCTCCTAGTAGCTGGATTACAGGACGACGCCACCCGTCAATCTGCTAGTTTGTGCACCAGAATCTAGGAGAACTACTTCGGTTTTAACCTGTACACTCATTAGCTATGAGAGCAAAGGACGTCACCAGTTCTCTCTACCATGAAGGTGGTGGAGTGGACCGGACCTTTAATTGGTTTGAATCTTCACAGGTAAAATAAAAAAAAACATATCAAGATCAAATAAGTCTCCACCACGTCTGGCCAACAGTTTTCTTTCTCTGTAAGGGTTCTAAGCTCGGTCTTAATTCTGTGAGTAGGAGTCGTCATGGCTGACTCAATTAGTAAGGTTGTACCCAAAATCTGCTACCTTGGCACTTTAACAATAATAAGCCATGTTGTATTAGAAAGCCAGGATGAAATAGGAGTCACCATGTTTGAGTTTGATTAATCCAGCAAGGCGCACATGGTATTGTATATCGCACATGGTGTTGTATATCGTTGGGTGCACCAACTCCAGCCACCCTGATACTAGTGATACTCTTCTTATGCAAAACCTGGTTCATTTTTTGTATTAGGAAACCAGGAAGAAGTAAAGAGTCAGCATCATGACTCGACTACTGTACTTACCGTACTCTTATTTCATTCACTGTCAATGGTATGATTGACTTGACCAACAGTCCAAATTTGGATTATTTGATAGTAAAACAATCAATAAAAAGCAGAGGTATTACTTTTTCAAGTACTTTCTCAATTCTTAACCAAGTTATATTTAGAACAATGAATGGTGCATCGTTACCTCAGTCGGCATATGCTTAGAAAAATGGTGTGTACTAGATATGTCCTAGGGCTCATCCCAACTCCACGCGGTGATCATTTCGGGTCCCTCACGGCACATGTCCAACTCCGCGCGGTGGTCGATTTTAGCTCTCACAGCCCTGATGGCTGTGCGTCTGTATTTTAAGTTTGAAATTGTTATAAATGTACATGATTTAGAACTGTACGAACTACAGTATACTAATAGCATAAAGTTAATTAGTATAAAATAGAATACCAGTTTAATTTGAATTTACCTATCATTAAACTAACCTTATATTAAACACACATCTCATACGAAAGCACAACAAGGTAGTGTAGGGATTAGATGTGGCCACCGCGCAGGAGTTATATACTATTCACTAAAAGTGACCACCGTACGGAGTTGGACTGCACCCTTCGGGAGCCATAAAACTTTTCCTCGGCTTAAATTTGACCACCGCGCAGAGTTGGACTATCTCCATGTCCTACACTAGATCTGAACGATATTGCAGTGATTAAATCCTGTAAGTATAAATTTAGTTGAGGTGGTTTTAAGTTAAAGATTTGTTTGAACAAGGCTTAAAAAATAGTAATTTTTTTTTCAAGCATGAATATTGAAGTAATTTTTATTATTAGTCAGTGCAGCTCGGTAGTTCATATGTCTGGTATAATTTTATTTCAGTAATAATTCAATTAATAAGAAAGAAGGGTCTCCTTCCTTTGTGAGATTAGATGCCATGAAAAATTGCTTATTTCATATATCACCATTGTTTTTGGTTGTATGGCAATACATATTGTATTTTTTTTGCTATACAGTTATCTCACAAATTCAACTGTAGCCAGTCAGTTTTGTTTTTAACACCTCAGTATGGTAATAGAAGGCTATAATGTGTAATCTTTGGCTATATTATCTGATATTTCGTAATCTATTCATTTTTCTAATCTAAACACAATATACGGCTGTACAATTTTGAGTGAAAAATTCAGCTGATTGTAATTTTGTTGATGTTAAGTAAGGTATTGTTTGTGTAGCAAAAGTAATGTTTATTTCAGGAAAAGTCAGTTGTTCACTATTTGTTTTTAGTGTATGGAAATTGAACTAGCGCCTAGTGGAAATTTAAGATCTCAGCTGCATGCAAATGGAAAATTTTTGAATACAGAGTGATGAAAAAGATTTTATTTGTGCTGAAGACTTCATAAATTGATAATTTGGAACAAAGTTTAAACAAACCTCCAATCCCCTTTTATCACAATCAACCATGAATATTAAAAGGCAGAAACAACTGAATCATACATATTTTTTTCTATCCATCTGAAGTTATATAAATTTTATCATAGCCAACTTTGTTTGACACAGATTTTACAATTAATTATTTTACACTGACATAATATTTGAGTAGTTAGACCAATCATGAGATTTCACACAGGTATTTTCCCTAAAGATTCTACTAGATCCACTAAACAATTCAAGGAACTATGAATGCCAAGACAAAGAATACAAAACAAATAATTTTATTGGTATAAAATTAGACAGCTTTTTATTACATATATGCCTGAAGTATTTAGGCAGTTCACTTAAATATTTAATGTACTTTTATGAGTACAAGGTAACAAAATTATATGAGTTCCACACTTGATTCTCACTTTTAATTCACACAGAAAATTTCTTGTTCAATCCGACATCTTGCACAAAATTGTTCTTCACTTCTTGAATAGCAAACTTGAACCGAAAATCTTGAACACTAGAGTTGGAGTGAGCACCGACTAATATCTTTTTTAGTCTAAAGTCATTCTTCCGTCTAATTGCAAAGAACACCAAACATTTTCTTCTTCCAAACTTTCTTGCTATGGCTGAATGTGAAATAAACATGTTTGTGGGATAAGGATTGGCATGATGACTAAACTAGCTTGGTCTTGGGTTTGGCATGCAACTCAACTCACCTTTTCCTAGTGAAATGCAAGTTTCAGGGAGGCAGGGTGTGAGTTAAACATCACTGGGCAATGGTCGAAGCCACTATTAACCTCAAATACTTATTAAATCAGGAGTATTGATAACGTTAACACATAATTTCTCTAATAATACAATTTACAGCCCAAACTGTACTAGAAACTATCTACTGACCCAGACCCCAGACCAACCCCAATTTTCAAACTATTAGGGTGGAAAGTGTTGTAGCTTAACTGTTCTGCCAAAATCCTGCCACCCTGAAAATTGGATCCTAATGTTATTATTATTACGTCCAAACTAGACTAGACTGATCACATTTAATAATGGACATCAACCTTGCAAAACTTCCGACAACAAAAGAACAAGGAAACCATTAAAAACACTCCTTGCAACCCGAAGTTGAGATTAATAAATTTACAATGATTATTTTTTAACTCATATTAGTTAGGCCTTGTTTACCTTTTAACAAAGGACAGGTATAGTTATACTTAAAAATATATGTTTTAACAGTTTAGTAAATTTACTTAACAAAAGGAAGATAACAATGAAATACAGGTTGATATTACCTAAAACAAAAGCATCGTTAAATCGTTTTGTACTTGACTCGTATGATTACAAAATAAAAAATAAAAACACAACAGGACCAAGTTTAAAATGAGTACGATTTATGTAACTATCTTGAGTTGGAGCATGTAATCATAGTAATTATATATCTCTAGGAAATAAAAACAACTTGCAACAAAGACATCGCTTTTTGAGTTGGCTGGGGTGACAAAGCCTATTAGTTTTGTATTCTGCCTACATTTGATCATAAATAATGCATCTCCTCCTTAACCTTGGCACTGTATAAGATAAAGAAAACAAAATTATATCCGTCCTAGTTTTAAGAAAATATTACTCTTTACACTTTTTACATCCCCACCACCATATCTACAACTCTAGAACTGTGAATGGTTACATTTACATTAACGCTTTATCATTGGATTGAAAAAGTGATAAGCAAAGAGACCTCCAAAACAGTACAAATTTACCTTTCACTCTTTCAGTGTAATAATTAAAATATTTAAAAAGCTAATGAATCAGTTTCATTTATTAGTCCTATGTTTCATACTATAAAAACCAAAGAGACAAGTAAGAACTTTCAATGGCAGAAATTAAATAAATTCAACCACCAAAAAGAAAATGTAGGGCGCCATAAACCAAGCAGATAAGTATAAGCAATTAAACAAATATTCAACAGATCTAAAGGTAGCACTCGACCAACAGGATGTACAATCAAAACTCAAGACCAAGCTAGATTAGTTCTAATTGTAAGACAAAAGTAAAAGATAACTTACACATTAATTTTTTCCCAATGATTTGTTAAAGATTTGCAAAATTGAATCCAATAAGCAAAAATTGAATCATATTTATATATTTTTTAAGAAACTTCATTATGCTGGGAACAAAATAGACATGCCAGAAATATAAGATACAAGTATTGTGTATAAAACACAAGTGTGTGCAAGTAGTGGCAATGTATGATGTCTTAGGGTGGAATAAAAACCATTGTGTTACGTGTAACAATAATGAACAGTGACAAGACAATTGGATACTGTGTAGAGCCAACTTACCATGTGATACTAAAGTCCATGCTTTGGAATAATCTACCGAGCTGAAACAAATGTTAAGCAATGAATGTATATAATACTGTATAAACTCTCATCAGCTTATTAGTTGGTTAAGAAATTAAATGCCAAACCAAGAACTAACTAACAAATATATGCAAATCTAATGCAACAAATAAAATTGTAGGTAGGTCACAAGTCAACGTTAAGTAATAGTCATTTGTGTAACTAGTGGGCAAAGTGGCACTTTGCTGCACACGAGAGCAATGTTTACGCACGAGCCGCAGGCGAGTGCAGAATGATCTCGAGTGCAGCAAAGGCCTTTTGCACTCGTGTGTTTTGCACATTATATGTTTCCTACTGTCACTATAAAGCATATAAATAATTAGTCTTTCAAACACTATACAAAACGTTTTTAGGTTCAGCTGGCAACACAAATAGGTGCCCTAGAGAAAGTAGTACCCGGTCCGTATCACTCCGCTATTTTTCCTCAGCAAGAAATGTGCTCCGCGTTTTGAGAATATAGTTCCGTATGTTTTTGTAATTTGAAGTGGTTTCCGTGCCTAAAAAAATGCTTTAAAGGTATTTTCTTGTTTATTAAGATCGTAGGAATGTTTTAAAAACGTTTAAAAGAAAAGTCCAGAAATACCGAAACTATAAACACAAAATGACAGGTTAAATCGTAGTCATAATAGTCAATCAGCTGCTCATAGTATTATTATCTTTAAGTGTTGCCAACCTATTTCCAAGCGTACACGGATTACGTGCATAATAGAACCACGCTGTTTTGAGTTGTTTTGTTGGAATCCTGATGTGCGGCAAAGTATAAACCGTACGACAAAGTATAAACCGTACGGCAAAGTATAAATATGCAGCAATTAGCAGCTTTCTGTACTATAAACAGTACAAGGAAGCCAACTTTGTCGGGTGACTGTAGGAAAAACAGTTTTTTTTCCGTTGGGGAAAAGAGACGTTAAAGTTAGAAATAGAAGGTAAATTGTAATGCAACTAAATAATAGCTTCAGGAGGCAAACTTTAAAGCTAGCTAGTTTACGACATAATTACTTGATTCAAAGTTCATTTTAAATGTTTATAATACTTTGATAATTTGTAATAATTGAGTAGAATAAAAGCTCAGAAACTAATTTTCCTTGAAATAATCATCTTTGATTGTTTACAGAATTATTCTACAAAAACTATTGTGACAATTTATATTTAATATTTTCTTATTATATTACGATTATTAGTTTTTTTTCTAATTTTTTTATTTACTGGAAAACCAAGGCCCATTCTGCATGAGTGTGAAACCTGCCACGGGATTTCCGAACCATTGCGTTAAATTGGCGTGTGCCATTCTACACGTAGCGTTATCACCAAGCGCGGCAGCTCACTTCACATCTACCGTCCAGTAGCATTAATTGGTTTAACAGTTAACACATTGTGGTATGACCCAGAGTACTTTCTTTGTGAGGTTCGGTCTGAACAGTATGTTGTACCAAGAATGGGAGTCACCAGAGCAATCCAAAACAAAAATCATGACAGCATCTCTCTTCTCAATGTGACACAGCAATAGTAAGGCGGGTTACACACCGGTATCTCCGACATGATGTCGCAGATATTTTTTGTGCCTGCGACATGCCCCTCGAAAACCAACCTATGTTAACTTATGGAGCTATACACACCAGTGTCGCAGACACGTTGCCTGCGACTTGTGTTGCAGGCGCGTGTCTCGAGTGAACCAACCGGTCGGTGTTTGGACAGACATGTCTCTTGTCTCTTGGGCCCGCCCATGCGCAGAACACGTTTCTAGTAGTTTTGGCGCTTTTTTACTTACTTAATGGTGGTATGGTGTGAACTGTAGTATTGTGATATTATAATACTCCAATTGACACCATAAGGAAATTACGTAAGTACTGTAATACAATTAATTACAAAGTATTTTGGAAAAATTACCATGAAATTATCTTTAATGTTTTTGTAGAAATAACAACAGCAACAACACATCATCCTCTTCTGACGATGACATTATTTAAACTGATGAATTTTGTGATTCCTTCACTTTCATGTCGCCAGCACGTGGCCTCTTCCATGGTTTGTATTTTATTGTATGTCGCCGACAACATGCCCGCGACATCAGAAATATCTGCGACATTATGTCGGCAATACCGGTGTGTAACCCGCCTAATAGTTCATCGAATGTCTCAACAGACCTTCTGTAAAACTGGAAAAACTATTACGGGTACCTCCGATGGTCATTAAACATGACATGGAATGTCCCTCTGGCGCATCTGTTTGATAATGTTTGATGTGTCCACCATCGGCTCTTCTTACGTTTCTTCCTCAGCAGTTGAAATAGTTGGAGTTAGACAACCCAAGCTATTCAACTTATCTCCACTGGATCTGAGCCACCTCGTCTAGAATGGCCTCACATGGGTTTCACACAGTCTACATTACATACACAGTCTACAGTCTACATACACAGTCTATATTGGCAAGGCCATGCGAAGCTGTTGGCCATGATGTATCACTACAGATTTGACCAGCAGGTAGTGTCGTGGTTTCACTCCTACTTGAACGGAAGATGCCAAAAGACCAAAGTTGGATCTGAGATCTCCGCCCCCATGCAAAAGTCCAAAGGAGTCCCACAGGGCAGCTGTCTTGGACCTGTCCTGTTTACTTTGTTTGCCGCATCTATGGGAAGAGATTTGCGTCATTGTCGGTTGTATTCATACGCTGATGATGCTCAGCTGGCTTTTCAGCATGACGCTGACCCAGCAAATCAGGCAGTCTCTGATTTCAATTCTGATTTGGATTCTGTCTTTGCATGGTCTATGTCCCATGGCATCAAGCTGAACAGAGACAAATGTTCATTGGTGACTTTTTCTGTCAGCAGGGTTGTTCGGTCCGAGCCCCTGTCTGGAGTATGCCTTGGCGGAATTCCGCTCAAAGAGTGTAAAGCTCCCAAGCTTCTTGGGCTTCATTTCGATCCTGAGCTCTCCTTTTCTGATCATGTGAGTTACGCATGCCAGAGAGCAATAGGTCGTCTGAGAATGCTGTACAGGCATCGTGACTTGTTCTCCAAACCCACCAAATTTCGGCTTGTGCAGGCACTTGTACTGTCTGTGTTTGATTACTGTCTTCCGGTGTATGGTAATGTTATATCACTGGGAGACATGAGTCGGATGCAGAGGGTGCAAACATGTGCGTCAGGTACGTCTGCGATCTGCGAAAATTTGATCGAATTTCATCAGACCTCACATCTTTTGGCTTATTGCCTATGGCTGACCTGTGCCTTTTACGCACTTCCTGCATCATCCGGAGGGTACTGTCAGAGGAGAGACCTCAGTACCTGAAGGTAAGACTGAGAGCTCGCTCTGAGATGCGATCCCGATGCACACGGCAGGATGACATGCTGGAGATGCCCCGTGTGCGCTGTGAGTTCGACCGTTGTGGGTTTTCTTATTTTGCCCCTAAAATCTGGAATAAATTGTCATCCAGGACTGAGCCAGGGGTGTTGGACAGTGAAAAGTCATTTAAAAAATATATAACAAATGGTTTGAAGAATGGTAAAATAATTAGGAATAGAGAACATATTTTAATTTTTAATTAGCCTAACTTAAGATTTGAGAGTTGCTTTTGTTTTATATTATTTATTATGTTGACGTGAGTTGTTTTGAAAAACATATGTTGTAATATGAAAAACGCTCAAGAATAAAGACGATTTTCATTTCATTTCATTTCATTTCATTTCATTCAAGCTCCTGTTGCGGGATTCATACTCGTGTAGAATGGGCCACGAAATAAATGTAACAAGAAATAACTGAAAATGTGCCGTTTTATAAAAGTTATTGTAATCAACAGCCTAACACGTCGAGTACTAATGAACATTGAACAACATTGAAATAAATGTTGACCGCACTGAGAGTGCTAAGTATTAGCTTCTTAGATGCCCTGTCAGGATGGCAGCATGTTTCTGGCTCTCCCAAGTATTAACAAACTTAGACAGAAAAATTACAAACACCTTCTTATAACTTAGAGTGTTATGAATGGAAAGATAAAAGTAAAAGATTAGATTACGCCAATCTAGACATCTTACGTTAAGCATGTAACAACTGGCACCAAACACAAAAGTAAAACATCCTATGAGTAAATCTTTAAAGGATAAATAAGGATTATTTAAGTACCTGACCTTTGACCAACCTTATTCATGCGGAACCACAGCAGTCGTGCCCACTGCTTCTGAAACAGAGGCTTCAAACTCATCAAGCAAATGGTCAAGTGATGCAATTCATGATAAGCACTTCGTTAGTGTCACTCCGCAACCGACAAATTACTTACCGGTACCAAATTAATTCTTAACATTATCAACTCAAGTTTCCACCAACTTGGTAAATGCAAACTTAATTTCAACAAATAACAAACTAAACCAAAGGAACTTGAACATGACATTACTTGCAATATAAACTATACATATAAAGAATGGAGAGTATAATGGTTTACAATAACAAATCATATGACTTTAGATGTTAATAATGAAAAATAAATAACTGTAAAAGTCTTAACTCTAAAGTATATTTACAGGGGTCAATGGAGATGTTGATACTTGCAAGCTTTATCTTGGCATCTCCCTGTCAAATCGTAAGGACACAGAATGGTTTTGTCATTGGCACCCTTGTCGGCACTGTAACCAAAGGCATACTATTTACCTTCCATTGGGCACTTGCAGGGTTATGTACAGTTATTATTAATTAGGGTTTAGAAAGTAAGGAACGTTTTCATCTGACACTGACATGCAATTCTATTCCATACATATTCGTCTCTTCAATGACAGTCTAAATGCAACAATTTCTTTACATAACAATAGCTAAAATCTGGCGAAAATGGATCGTAATTGCTACGGGAAAAGTTAAAAAATGCTGCTGAAAAGTAAAATACAGTATTTATTTAATACAGTAGTAAACAGTGAATAAACAGTACTGTACATTAAATACAGTATACAATATAAAACTACTGTACTGTGTATAGAGTGCAGCAATGAGGTGTTCGGATTAGTGGATGTTCGGATTACTGGGGTTCGGATTAAAGAGGTTCTACTGTATACAGTAGAATCCCCCTTATCCGGATACCTTTTAACCAGACTACACTCGGCGAAAATGACATCTCTTTAACCAGACAATTTTTATCAGCATATTGGTTTAACCGGACTAGATCGGCAGTAAGTGGGCGATACCGAAACCTCAGTTCTCGCGGGAAAGATTCGAGACCGGTGATCTCGTGTCCAAATACAATGATCTCTTAAATTTAAGTCGAATATCACAGTAAACGGTCCGTTTTAAAGAGTTTTTGGGGAC